GCTGGAGAGAAATTAAGCAAAGGTGGTGAGTTGCTTTACTTGCCTCTCAGATGTTTGCTTTCTCTTTCTCTTATTCATTGGTCTCTGAATTGGCTTTGCCTCTGGACCTTAGATTTTTATTTCTTCATGCATCCTCTTGTGCTCATTCATTTTTGGGCCAAGACAGGAGTTACTTTATTGTTACGGACCCAGACTTAATATCTGTCTAATTCCATTTCACTGTGCTGTAGTTTAGAACATATAATTTGAGCTGTATATAATTTCTGACTATGGACTTAAACACTGAAAGTAGATGAATAAAATTTTTGAAAATCTTAATATTTTGACTGTATAAAAGCAGTCAGTATTAGCCCACAACCTGCATTTTTTTTTTTTGTGTGTGTGTGTGTGTGTGTGTGTGTGTGTGTGTGATTTGGTATGGAAAGATGTGCCAATGGTTTATTATAGAGGAGAAAGTCTAATGCTTTTATTGGTTGTATCTTGTTTTGATTTTTGCAGAAAGATCTTCTTTTTAGAAAATGAGTTTCTTCTGTGTTTGGCTTTAAAGCTGTCTTAGAGGCTTCATCACCACTCCGCCCCAGTGCCTTGCCCCCACCCCCAGCTTTGCTCACTTGCAGTCTTTGAAGCAACCCTGGGAGGCAATGGACTTAATATGCCCTTCGCTTTGTACTCCCCTCAGTTTCTTTGTTTCCTGCTTTGATTGTGTGTGGTTACCTGATCCACTTACTCTGCTCCCATCTTGAGCAGGTTGACAGATAGGCAACCAGATTTATAACTAAGTTATAGTTATGGATCAATTGAGGTTCCTCTTCATGGAAACACATATGTTTCTAGAGCAATGTTTTTCAACTACTGCATGAGACAGATCATGGACTATTGAGTAGTATTCTGTGAAAAAAAGAATTACCTGGTCAAATGGCATGGGTCTCCCAATTAATACTGTAGCATTTTAAATGAAACCTGTCAAATGACTTGTATTTGTTTTTCTAAATGCAATTGTGCATGGCACTTTTCATTTTGGAATACCTAGTTACAGGTCAAAGCTCACCAGTTTTCTGTGGAAGACATTTTTGGAAGTTATGTTCTTAGAATTTAAACTGTAGGTTAACAATATTCCCGATCTACATCTTCAGCAACAAGTTTTTAATAGATTATTTCTGACTTAAACAGCAGGTCATCTACATTTGCATTATGTTAGATAAAAATCATGCAACGTCAAAGGGTTATCTAAGCAAATTCAGGCATCTAATGAATAAAATCACACACAAAAAACTTGACAGAAAGTTATAGATGACTTAGAAATCCAGAACTCTTAGTAATATAAATTAGTTCAGTTACTGCTATCTGTGCATTATCCATTGATTTACTTGAGTGTGTGTTTGTGTGTGTGTGTGTGTGTGTGTGTGGTTTAAGTTTTAGAATGAAACTGATGCCAAGAGGGTCTGGCATATTTTAGAAAAGCACAAAATGTCCTGGCCTTAATAGTTTGGACACTTGGATTTATCACTTTGAATATTGATTTAGTATTAATCATAAGAATATCAAGTTATAGCAAGATAATTCTATAATGTGGATACCTCACTATATCATTGGTTTTTTTAAGTGGGCAAGGTAATGTTCTTGTTAAGCAATTATGATTTAGGAGTCTTAGATATTTATTTTTTTGGAGTTGAGTTAAAGGAAATGTTTTTTTTTAATATTATTTTGAAATGAAACTACCATTAGGGCATATATTAATTCTCACCTTAAAGTAAACTCAGTGCCAGTTAAACCTTCCTCTTTTTTTGTGTGAGATACATGAAACCCAATGGCAATGTATCTTTCAATATATATTTTTAAAATTTCATTTTTAAAGGTTGAAAAATAAAAATAAAAAAAGTGGCTGTAAGGAATAACAAAATTCAATTAAATGCATACAATTTTTATTTTATGGGTATTGGATAGGTAGATGGAAATTGTATCCTCAAAAAAAAAAGAATTATATAATTATTATTTTGACATAAAGTCAGATTTAACAAGAGTTTCTATATAGTTTCATTAAGTAGACTTTTATGAAATAATAATAATAATAATAATAATAATAATAAGAGAATTCTCCTTTTAACCTGCCATCCCCTTCTGAAACCTTTCTTTCCTTTCATACCCCAAACACTGATGCTGTTTGAGACGGGGAAACCAGTTACCCCTGAGATCATGCCGTCATTCTTCTTCATTAGCCCTTTGGTCTGGCCACCTTTGGAGAAGTTGATTTCCCCTAACAGATCGACTAACATAGCTGTTTGGAGAAACAGTTTGACTCAATTAATTATATTTGGTGGCCCTGCTCTGGTTGGCTGACCACTCCTGTTACCTAAGAGGAACAGTAGTCTGGCCTCAGAGTAGAAGCCCCTGGCCCTGCAGGAAACGAAGGCAGCACAAATGATACGCCAGCTGTAATAACAGAGCCAGGCATCCCACCTCGGAGGGAAGTGGGCTGGCACGCTGCCCTCTTTCACACTTGCATTCCTTTCAGGCTTACTGCAAGTGTAATGCAAAGTGAACCAGGTTGCTCAGGGCAGCTCAGACCAGCCTCTCCGTCTGCCTTCCCCCCTGTAGCTCTGAGCCAAACCCATAGGTGAGATCAATCACCTGCCCAGACAGCAGCTCCCCGCAGCCCTGCCGCAGGATTAGCCTTAGTTAATGTGCTGCTTGGGAAGGAGAGGAGAGAAAGAGCACCTTGTTCCTTAACGAGAACTTGAAATGGCACTTATTTAACAAATAGGCGGAATGCGTACTCTGTAACTGGCATTGTGACCCTTATGCTCTTAAACCTTACTAAGGAGAGTGATATTGAAGGAAGGCAGGGGGAACTTATATTCTTATACTGTTTTTTTAATTTATTGATTGATAAAATATATTTTTATTGATTTCAGAGAGGAAGGGAGAGGGAGAGAGAGGTAGAAACATCAATGATGAGAGAGAATCATTGGTTGGCTGCCTCCTGCATTCTCCTTCACCCCCTTATCCCCCACCCTTTCTGTGATGGAGCCTACAACCCTGGCATATGCCCTGACCAGGAATTGAACTGCGACCTCCTGGTTAATAGGTCAATGCTCAATCACTGAGACAGCAAGCTGGGCTAGTGTATTTTTGAATTTGCTAGACTAGATCATTAAGGACAAACATAATCACCTCCCACCTTATTTTTTTCAGTCCGCTAGAAGTCATTTTTCTTTCTCTTCTTCAAATAGCTCTTATTTGGATTTGGCCGAATTTCATCAGTAGCAATTTTAGATTTATAGTGAGAAAAGCTGATATGTGTGATTTGGCTATTTTTCCTACGACTGATTTTTCTTGTTTTATAAAGCTGTCACACAGAGAGAGCGATGGCTCTATGCATTTTAAACAACTGCTTGTTATAGCTAAGTTCAGGGCTCTCACAATATGGATCTTCAGGTGAAGAAGATCCAAATTGTGAGAGCCCTGAAGTCCCTGTTGTCTAATATCTCCTGGGCTCAGCACACGGCCTCAGTGAGATGGAAACAGGATCCACAGCTGCGACAATGATGGGCTATCAATATTTTAGCTCCTTCTCCCTTTCATTTTATGTTCTCCCTCCTGCCTGCTGTATTTGCTTAGCTGTTCTCTAATCCTGCCTCTGTCTTTTAAAAGGCCACTTGTGGTCAAGCCTGGAAAGCATCGTTTCATTTGAATTGAATTGATTCCAGCCAATTGGTTTGTTAGTTTATCCAAGGAAAATGTCAATATAAGAAACTGGCATTTCTAGAGTATTTTACTAATGCACGTAAAATGACAATGAACATATTCCCCACTAATTGGGCCCGGGGATGAACAAAGTAAATGTTCATTCTTTCGTTGTTAGTCAGTAAGCAGATAGAAGAGTCTCTCAAATCTCGTGAGAGCCCCTGCTAGCTAGAACGTGTGGGGTCTTTGTGAGAACCGGAGAAAGGAGTTCTCTGGGCAGACAGATTGCAAGGTATCTGCCCTGCGCAGAGCAGGTTGGAAAAAAGATTCCCCTTCCTCCTGGGGGGCCTTTCGTGCCTTTGGGTGGCTGAGTGGGAGCTAATGGTCCCCATTTGGTCTTGGTTCTGACCATGTGCAGCAATGACCCCCATGCCAAACCCTGAAGTCCTGTGCCTGGGACAGGAGGGCAGGCAAGGGCACTCCCCTCTGCTTCTTTCCCTTCCTGACTTCAAACCCTAGAGGTTTTCTTATTTTGTTAGTTGATTGGGTGGGAGTTAATCCGCTTTGATGGTAGTGGCACATGAGAAGGAGGGTCAGAGAATGACTGATTTTAGGGTAAACGAAGTGAAACAGCCTCAGTGACAGTTCAATACAGCGTTCCCCGCCCAGCGTGCAGTGTTAGTAAGTACATCACTGGCTGTTTCCTTAAAGAGGAAACTCGTTTCCTAGACAACACTCCAAAGGTCCACTTGGAAAGGTTTGTCCATCTTCATGATCATGACATTGTTATCAAATAACTGCTTCTGCATGCCCATAGGCCAAAAGTTTCATATGTACACTTTCCTATCCAGTCATTGGATACGAAAGTGTACATATGAAACTTTTCCCTTATGTGCTATGCTATTTCTTATCATGCGTGAATGGTAACAAAATTAAATAACCGTTATGTCTGCTGCTTTAAAGTGTCAGAAGCTGGTACCATGCCATAGGAAAGTATTACATGTTTCCCTTCCCTCCCCACACCCCTGCCATTACTTTAAACCAGTGGTTGGCAAACCGCGGCTCTCGAGCCACATGGGGCTCTTTGGCTCCTTGAGTGTGACTCTTTCACAAAATACCACGGCCTGGGCAAGTCTATTTTGAAGAAGTGACGTTAGAAGAAGTTTAAGTTTAAAAAATGTGGCTCTCAAAAGAAATTTCAATTGTTGTACTGTTGATATTCGGCTCTGTTGACTAATGAGTTTGCCGACTACTGCCCTAGACTGTAAAGGAATGAATAATGAAACTTAGGGCTTTTTCTCCTCTTCTCATTTCAGGTGATGTGTTCCACATCACGGCTCCCAATAAGTTCTCCTATAAGGAGGCCGAGGAAGAGTGTGAAAACCAGGATGCCCGGCTGGCGACAGTGGGGGAGCTCCACGCGGCGTGGAGGAATGGCTTTGACCAGTGCGATTACGGGTGGCTGATGGATGCCAGCGTTCGCCACCCTGTGACTGTGGCCAAGGCCCAGTGTGGAGGTGGTTTACTTGGGGTGAGAACCCTGTATCGTTTTGAGAACCAGACAGGCTTCCCTTCCCCTGATAGCAGATTTGATGCCTACTGCTTTAAACGTAAGTGTTTGATACCTTTTTAAAAGTTACAGACTTTAAAAACATACTTCGAAGGCATGCATTGATGTTCACCTAGCCAATGGGATGGATCCCATATCTTGCAGTGTGTGCATGAAATGGAAGCAGTACAGTAATGCTCAAAAGCATAGCATGCAAATGGAACAGCACTGACAGGGTTAAAACATCGGGGAGTTAGACAAATGATTTTTTAAAGGGGATGAAGAAATGTCAAGTTAAGGTCTTAATGGTGCCCCATTGCACCACAGAACACATGTATGAGTCATTATTTTATATTAATTTCAGTCCTTAAATGCAATTAGATAATTGGTGCTATAATGCTGAGGCCAACTGTGGCTGAGTTGAGACCTTGAGTCTGTTTATTTTGTCTTTGTTTGGTATGTCTTTCTTTGAAATGGTGGAGAACTGAAATTTCAGTAATTGCAGGTGAGTACTTGGAACTGATGTAGATAATCATAGCATTCAATTAATGTCTGAAAATGAACCATGCTATAAATTAAAATCTTCTTTTATCCCATTTTGTTTCAAGTAAGGGAAATGTGTCTTATAATAATTCTCTAGAATCGTATTGACATACAATATATGGTTTTTGCTATCTTCATTAGGTTTGCTACTTAAATTGGTGTTAAATAACAATTTTCAATATTCATGATATATTTATTTAAAAATTTCAAGTGATCTTAAATGATTTTATCAATAGTAGTTTCATGATATAATATCATACTTGTAGAATGTTTAATTAAACCAGGAAGTAATCCAGAATCTGGTAGTATTTACTGTCAGGTCTACTAGTATATTGTGACAGCTAAACAAAGATCTCCCAAAAATTTGGGTGACCTTGAATTAAGCTATGTTATATTGAAATAGAGTGAAAAATTTTTTTACCAAGCTTTTAATACATCTTGTTATAGCAATATGTAACTGAAATGAGTAGAAAATAGCTAATGTAATTGGTTTCTAAAGTGAAATACACAGGCATTCTTCATCAATCAAAAAGATAGCTGGGATCTGAGTAGTTGGCAGAATAGATATTGGTACAATTGAAAGGTGTGATTTCACACATTACTGCCTCCCACTATGAGGCCTCTGCTTGGATCTCCTCAACTTTCTGAGTGGTAAAGCCACATGTTGTGTATTAGCACAGTACAAATGGGCAATGAAAAGCCACTGAACATACTAGCTTTGGTTTCTAAACCCTGAAACGAAAGGAAAGTCTTTCTTGCTAATTTTTGGGAAAACAAACAATGATGACAAAACCTATTCCTAAAAGTAGAAAGATAAACATTCTTTTAAGTCACATTCTCATAACAGTGATTTTCAAGTAGTTCCGGCTCAATGATCAGTTTTACATTGTGACTGACATTATTAAGGAACAAAATTGGATTGGTGTGTGTTGGGATAGAGGGGTTAGAGAGGTTAAATCAGGGAAAGAGTAGAATTCTTCAACTTCACTACATTCCTTGATTACAAATATTTCTTGTGGCACTAGAAAACTTTTAAACATTTTTTTCTCCAAGAGGTAAATTTAAACCAAAGCCTGTCTGTACCTACGAATAATCCATCCTGATATGTTTTAAATTATTTGTTTAAATGAGGAATTCACACGAATGTATGAAATAACAAGCTAATTGGATTCAAATAGAAACACCACCTACTAAAACTCTACATGAAAATATTTTAAAAAATTGGAAAGTTTAGGTCTATTGTTTTCTCTCTAATTCAATTGAATATATATAACTTGGGAATATATAACTTGCAAATATTGCAAATATAATGGTTCAAATTTTGGGTTTTGTCCAACCTAAGCTAAAGGCTAGGTTCTTCTTTATTTCTTACCTACCTTTAAGACCCTATCATATTCAAAATTTATTCAGTGCATAAAAATCTTAGAATGTTATCATGACATAAAAACCTTTCTTAAAGCACATGAAATACCAACAGCTTTACCAAATTGCTAATATATTTTTCAAAAATTCTTTTAATATACACGGTATAGCAGAAGTAGGTTTACAGTTGTGAGTACTTAAAATATTATTATTTATTAATTAATAATTAATAATTATTGTATTATTATTTATTGATTATTATATTATTTTCCGTATGAACAGCTATAAACCTACTTTTGCCCCACCCTGTATAGAGATGTGTACACACACCCACCCACCCACACACACACACACACATTAATCTTAAAAATATTCTCAAATAACTTGACTGTCATTCACTTTTCACACATAGTTGAGTAGTGGCTAAATTCTGTAGGGTAAATTTTGTAGGCATTGTGGCTCTAGTGACAGTTCCAAAAGTGATTTCAAAGATGTACAGTTGGTTGGTTGGTAGAGGAATGTAGAAATATCACCATATTTTTTGTTTACTTTTACCAAATGTAGGAAGTGTTTTTTTTTTAGCTATTTCCTGGTGAATGAACAGTACCCAACCTTACTTTGCTATAATTTCCTTTTCCTTTAAAAATAATTGATTAGAACATTAATAATGGCTGGTGATAAATATAGTTAGAATCTATTCTTGTCAAATAAATTTTAAATACAAGTAAATTTATGTTGTAAAAATAAAGTTTTCCTTTGTTTTCCCCTGTAATAATTAAACTAAACTGTGCACTTTTGATCTTTCTCTGACCTCAGAGTTCAGTGAGTTCCGTGAAAGTTAGAGGGTTATACAGGGCTTTGAAAGCTCACCCAATACATCCCCAAACTTAAATGAATCAAAAGCATTCAAGACTCATGATAATCTCTCATTTGATGTTATTAATGCTCTCTAGACAGGTAGTTGAACATGTTTCCTAGAAAACCCATTCTAATATCTTATTACCGTCACCCAGATAGTTTTTCTAATTATATAAATCCATTGGATTAGAATTAGAGCCCATTTTTCCTTTTTAAATTGGAGACCAAAACCTAAATAACAGCTGTTTCTCTTATTGAACATAGTTCAATTGTCCCTCAGTTTCTTCCTTAACTGAAATAATTTCCTTGTTTTGAAATTTCAGTGTCTGAGCCTTTAATCATCTATCTGATCTTGCTTTGAGCCCTCCTTATTTATTTATTTATTTATTTTTTTATAGCCATCTGTTTGATTAACTATGGAACTTAAATTAGTGGCCTAAAGAAGGCTAGATAAGTACCCATCACTTCATATGCTATTTCTTCCATATTTGTTTACTTTTATTTTTATAAATCCTCACCCAAGGATATTTTTTTTTCATTGATCGTTTTAGAGAGAATGGAGGGGTAGGGAGGAGTGGGAGAGAGAGAGAAAAACAGCAATGTGAGAGAGACATAGATTGGTCGCCTCCCACATGTGCACAGACTGGGGATTTAGGATTGAGCCTGCAACCGAGGTATGTGCTCTTGACCAGTATCAAACCTAACTCTTTGGTCCACTGGCCGACACTCCAGCCAGGCCCAATATTTATTTACTTTTAAATTTGGCCTGCCCTTCTAACCTTTGGTCAGCTTATTTTTTGTGTGACCTAGATCATAATGAGTATAGGCACCAAAACGTATTCTTCCCTTATTGATATGTTTAACATGTTTTCTGTTTATTGAATTTAAACATGTTAGCATTCACTCACTTATAAAGCTTTTTAAAAAGTTTTGCATTTTAATCTCATTGTTTCCACCTTTACTTTCCCCCCCAACTGTTACATAGAATCAACTCACTGAGAATCTACTTTATTTGTGATTCCAATGTTTAAATAGTTATTTCTGTATAAAACATTTAATCTAGAAGAACTAATTTGAAGCTAGTCTTTTCCTTATAATGTAGGCTAATGGGTATGAGTTAAATTGACTATCACACTGGTAATAGGGTTCTTATATTTTATTAGAAAAATCTGCCAGATGTCTCCCCACAGAGGCATGGAGAAGAGAGTCCATAGAACATAAAATGCCGTCAGGACAGTGATGTGAAACGTCTGTGTGGTAGACAGCTGCAAGGTTGGAAAGGAGCTTTTGTGGGAAGAGAAGCATGCTGGTTTCTGTTGGCTCCCCTGGCAATGAAGCCGAGGGGACGCTGGTAGTTTTCCAAGACGTAAACGTCTCCATATGAGTGCTTCTGGAATGACACTGAAAGGATAGCCCAGAGCTGTGTTCTCACCTTCATAATGATCGCCATTCATACAGTGACACTTTCAACCTTCTTCAAAGATATTTGCATTTTTAAAAAGAGATTTTTTTGGGGGGTGGGGCAAGTGGTTGAAACAAATGGCCCAGAAGAGGAGCTATGCTGAGTTATGATGGGAACCGGCTGTTACACTGATGAAAAATCTACCCAACCCCAAAAAGGAAGTCTGAGGTTTTCCATTCCAAGTAGTATAATTAATTAAGATAATTATAAGCAGACATTTTAACAGGGCTCTAAAATTATTGAAAACCTTTTTCTTTTTAAAAATCACATAAATCCTGGCTTTGTAGGGGAGATTCTCTCAGACTCTCTTCACTGTGTTCCAGACTTAAATGAAGCCAACACCAAATGGTATCGTCCTAATTGACAATGACATAGCTAATTTTTTAAATGAGTCCTTCATTTTCAAACACTGCCAAAGTGTTTTTCATAGCATTGTAGAAGTTGCTAGAACAGAGCTAGGGTTGGAACCTAAGGAGACCAGATTCACAGGCTCTGTTTGGCCCTAATGCAGTTATCACCTCTTGTAAAAGTAATCTCATCAGCCATGAAATACTCAGAGGAAAAAGCAAAATTTCCTTTTTCTGTTGTTAATAATATGATTAATTTTTTTCTAATATGCAGTGTAGTATAAGTGTTTTTATTATGTTTCCATGGTAACTTTCTTTGAATGTACATTTTACTATTTTCCCAAAGAATGTGGTTATAAGACAAAAATGATATTTAGCAGTTAAATGAGGTAACAGTGATGGAATTTCAGAGGCTACAGAGAATTGAATCAAAAGAAAAATAGTCAACCACGCTTTGGCTCCTTAAGTCGCTCATGTCAATCAAAATAGATTAAAGCTTCTTCTAATAAATGAATTTAGAAAGAGCTAATCTTTAAAAAAAAAAAAAAAGGAAAGGAGAAAAAGGATATTTCATATATTTTGCAGAGTTCAATTCTGTTTTTAAAGTTAGTTTTGTTTTACTATAGGAGGATACAGACTTTAAAGATTGTTTAAATGCACTGTAATATAGTCACCAAGTTTTTATTATGAAGTTGATTAATCTGGGCTATTATAGCTGAAGTTCGATTTAAACAAAAAGACATCATTTTATCATGAAATTTTAAAAATAGAATACTTTTTAGAGCAGTTTTAGGTTCACAGCAAAATTGAGTAGGCAATGCAGTGATTTCCCATCTACCCCCGCCCCCACAGGCACACCTCCCCCGTTATTAGCATTCCCCTTATGTTTGTTACAGTTGCAGACCCACATGTCACATCATAATCACTCACAGTATATAGCTTATATTAAAGCTTACTTTCTGTGCTGTACATTTTATATTTTGGGCACATATATAATGACATGTATTTACCATTCTAGTATTAGAACAATTGCACTGATTTAATATCATTACATTTTGACAGACTAGATGGAGCCCAAAGATATACAATTTCATTTTCCAAGGACTCCTGTTTTAGGATTAAGAGTAAGGCACAAGATATTATAAATACTACAGATATTACAACTCTTATCAGGGGGAACAGGCATTACCCATACAACTAGCTTTAAGTTGTACAAAATATAGCAAACCAATGACTAAGGTTTCCTCAGAACAGTTCTTTCTGAGTATAGTGGCAACTAATTTTTGACTTTTGAAAGTCTGACTTTGAACTAACAAACAGCACACAAATAACCCAGAATCTAATCTTTCTTTTTTTTTAATCAAATATATTTGATCAATTTCAGAGAAGAAGGGAGAGAGGGAGAGATAGAAATATCAATGATGAGAGAAAATCTTTGATTGGCTGCCTCCTGCATGCCCCCTACTGGGGATCGAGTCCACAACCCCGGCATGCGACCTTGACTTGAATTAAACCTGCAGGCTGACACGACACCCTATCCACTGAGCCATACCTGCTAATGCAACTCAGAATCTTTCTGTATTAAGCTGCTGCTTTCCCTCTATGTTAAGAAGGAATCCTGTCTCCAACACTGTCGCTGTTACTCACAATTTAAATGTCTTTAAGCAGGCCAAGCCACTCTCTGTAAATCTGGATGCTTTCTAACTTAGCGTTTTCTGATGACATGTTACTTTTTATTGCCCGAGCCTATTCTTTCTGATGCTCAGAGTTGTTTCCAGTGATTTGTAATTACAGACCTAAAATATAACATGTGGGTACTTTACTTCCTGTTCTACATTTGTGTTTCATGCCAAAGTAACCCTGGAACTAAGACCAGGGTTTAAATGTTACAAGCACATTGTGTAGAACATTAGAACAAAATGTAGAAATACAACAAACGCCAAGTAGCCTCTGCCAAAAACATTTTATTGTTTATTAGAACGAGGCTCTGCTAGAGTTGAAAGGAGGAGGAAGACAAATGTCCAACACCTGGAATCAAGGGAAGAGTGGTTTTAAGAGTTTAATATCCTGTTTTTATGAAACTCGTCCGCATTATGGACAATGTGATAGTTTATGTGTAACTTGGGGACATTTGATGTGACTTTTGGTTGTTTTGCAATCTGAGGCACTCCCTCTCTCCTGAGTCACTGTGCAGCCGGAGAAGAAGAGAGAAACCTGGAGGCTGGGTATAGAAGCTTCCAGAAGAGTAACATTAAGTTCTCCTACTAAGCTTCAAGTTGCTGCTGTAGTTTTTGATAAATCATCTATCTACTACTTCCAAACTCTGCATTCATGTATTTTTTTTTTTGGACATCTCTGTATTTTAAAACCAGATAGCACTCATTTTTCTTTAACCAAGAACCATTCACCCTCTGGGTAAAAGCAGTGATAACCCTTACACTCTAAAACAATTGGTGACTATTAAATGTTCAGTTGCCTTTGGGTTCATTTAAGTATAGTTTTTAGATTCCCCTCCACCACAGAACACATTTGGGTCACCCCAAAATACACAGCAGCATTTAACAAACACTGGAGTGCAACTTTTTATTAGTGCCTTGTCTAATCAACTCTTTGAAATTATTTTCTAGCCAAACAGAATATATCAGAAACTACAACCATCGATATGAATATCCTTACAGAAACTGCATCACACAGTTTATCCAAAGAACTGCAAACAGTACCTGACAGAACTACACCAATCACCCCCTTACCCACTGACTTACCTGTCATTACAGCTAAGTTCCCTGCTGTGGGAAACATAGCCAGTTTTGAGCAGAAATCCACTGCTCAGTCTCCAGTGGTCACACACAGATTAGCCACTGATCCACCCACACCTCCTGGGAGAACCATATCTGAAATTAAGGAAGAAGTGCCCCAGAGTACAACTGCCACCTCCCGTCATGCTACTGATTCATGGAATGATATCATGGAATATATGCCAACACAAGAATCAGTTACACAAATTGAACAAATAGAAGTGGGTCCCTTGGTAACTGCTATGGAAATCTCAAAGCACATTCCTTCCACAGGATTCTCTGTAACTGAAACACCTTTTGTATCTACAATGGAACCCAAAACTGAAAAGAAAAGAGTAAGCACTGCTTCTGAATTAGTGACCACAACCCGCTATTTCACCTTGGGAGAAGCTGGTGATGGTGGTGAAGACAGAACATCTACAGTTAGATCTGGCCATAGCACCTTGGTCTTCAGCCAAATACCTGAAGTCATTACAGTGTCAAAGACTTCAGAAGACACCACCCCCAGTCAACTAATACCAGCATTGAGAACAGGTACTTATACCAATGATGAAATACAGGAAAAGGTCACCATCGACCCATTTATAGGAAAAATAGAGGAAGAAGACTTCTCTGAAATGACGTTCTCTACAGCTTCCTCAGAGCCTTTGGTAGAAACGACCAAATCCTTTGATTCACCAACACTGACAACAGCAAAGCTAAGCGTTGTGCCAACAGGGGCAAGAGATGTGGAGGAAGACTTTACAAGAACGCCAATTGGATTAGAAACAAATGGCTATCAAGACACTACACAGTATGATGAGGGGATGACAAAAGTGCATTCAACCCACAGCACTTCAAGTGTGGAGGTAGTCACTGTATCAAAATGGTCATGGGATGAAGATAATATAACCTCAGAGTCGTTAGAGTCCACAGAACATGCACATTCTCCAAAATTGCCCCCGGCCTTACTCACCACTATAGGAGTGAGTAGAAAGGATAAAGAAACCCCAGGTTTTACTAAGGATGAAGGAGATGAGTTTAATCTTGTCCCAGATAGTACTCAAATGCCATTAGAGAAGTTTACTGAAGAAGAATCCACAGACCGTGGGAAATTCACAATTAGATTTCAGCCAACTACATCAACTGGCATTACAGAAAAGTCTACAGCTGAAGAAAGAGTTCCCCCTGTCACAAGCATGGAAGATCGAGCTGCTCATGCAACTGTAGAAGGAAGTGCTTTGGCTAAAGCAGAAGATATGGATGTCTCTGAGCCTGTGTCTACTGCCCCTCAGTTTGCACACACTTCAGATATGGAAGGATCAACATTCGTTCATTATAGTAGCACCCAGGAGTCTACTTATGTGAGCACTTCCCATACTGTTCTTCTTTCTGTAAGTCCCAAGGCAGAATGGGGAGTGTTGGTACCTTCTGTGCCCTCAGAAGGTGAAGTTCTAGGTGAGCCCTCTCAAGACATCCGTGCCATTGATCAGACTCACCTGGAAGCAACAATTTCTCCTAAAACTATAAGAACGACAACAGAAATTGCACAGAGAACCACTCGGGAAGAATTTCCTTGGGAAGATCAGACTTCAGAAAAACCAGTCCCTGCCCTTGGTTCTGCAGCTGGCACAGCCAAGGAGGCAGCACCGCCTTTGGATAAACACGAAAGTGACGGGTCAGCATACACTGCTGCTGAAGACCGATGGGTGACGAGTTCTGAGAGAGTCCCAATTTTAGAAACAACTCCAATTGGGAAAGTTGAGTACACTCTGTCTTATCTACCTGGTGCTGACACTGAGCACAAAGCGAAAACAGATGAAGTGGTAAGGCTAACACCAAGCATGGGGCCAACAGTATTTTTAAGTCCTGGGGTTGAACAAAAATATGAAACAGAAGAAGAAGCCACTACTGAGGAAAGAGATTATATTGAGTTAGGTTCAGAATTATTCGAGAAGCCCAAAGTCACAGCACTCCCAGAATTTTCAACAATTAAAGCCACAGTTCCAAGTGAGATGACTACTGCCTTCAGCTCAGTAGACAGACTTCACACAACTTCAGCAGTGAAGCCCTCTTCAGCACCCACTGAGGAACCGCCCCTCATCGACAGAGAACCCGGTGCAGAGACAACCGGTGGCATGGTAATCCTTGCAGAATCAACAGCACGTGTTCCTACCACTACCCTTGAGGATAAGGAAACAGAAACCGATATCGATAGAGAGTATTTCACAACGTCAAGTCCTCCTTCTGTCACACAGCCAGCGAGGCCACCCACTGTGGAAGGCAAAGAGGCCTTGGGTCCTCAGGCACTTTCCACTCCAGAACCCCCAACGGGGACAAAATTCCACTCTGACATAAATATTTACATTATTGAGGTCAGAGAAAACAAGACAGGTAAGTCTTTGCTTTTTAGACATACCAGTCAAGGCAATCAGCATTTTATCTTGAAAATGTATTTTGGGGGGAAAAACAGTCAACTTACCAAATGCTGCCATTAGAAGATAACTGGAGTGTGAAAAAGTTCTGTGTTTTAGCTTCACATGTTTGTACAAGCATTGGAAGAATATGTTAAAGAGTTTGGAAGAATGTTAGATACAATTGTATTTTAAAGGTTATAAGAAGCCCTGCTTTGTCATCTAATATAACCAAATCATTCCGTGACATCACTTCAGAACATGCAGAACAAAGTGTGTTAATTTCAGTGTCTTTCCATGCATTACCACTCAATGTAGTACTAGACTGTGTTAACATTCCATTGGTCTTTAACTATATTAACCTTCAGTACTTACATTGTGGACAGCTAAAACCCTTTTTGCATTCTAGGCCTGACAAAAAGACACCTAAAGGTTTGCTATGGGTTTTCTTTGTTTTATGACTTGAGGGGTGAGTAAAAGTCTGCTGCTTAAATGTTATTTCATGCAAGTTCCAAATGTCTTTAAGTTATTGTCCTTGGGCATTTTAATGAGGCTTTAAATATTTAGAACAAATACAATCTGGCTCAGTTGTAGGAATTGCTATAACTCATTGTATCAAATATTATTTCAGAAGGTGGCTATGGCAGTGTTATCTCTGTTTCCTAAAACCAGGTTATTGTTTTATTATTTTATGATTTAATTGTTTCATCTGTAGGAATGCCTTATTTATTTCTCTGGGAAAATGTTTAAAAGCTGTTTGTTTGTTTTTTACATTGATTAATACTTGCAATTTTCATTATCAAACATAGGTGCTCCTTTTTAAAAACCATATCATCTTTTAATTTTGGTAAGCTGATTTTAGACTACTACACAGTTCAATAGATCAAGTTTGTCTCTTTCTAAGTTAGGAGTCAAGATCCTTGATTTTAGTCAAGTTACTATATTCTAGTGCTAATATGTGAATGAAATGAATAGCTACTTGTTTTTCTTTGACATGGCCCTGGGAAGTCAGACTAGAAGAATGTGGTGTGTTCTCTTACTCTTGAGAGAGTCCCCTCAAGGTGTTATTTTTTCTTAAGAGTGAGTCTATCTTCATTAGATGGCACTTTTGGGGAACAAACAGGTCGCTCTGTGGTCACATCAGCTCTGTAGATGGAGATTTTACAGGTCTACCGTCTTCACAGCTCTGCTGTCCAGAATTCTCTCAGTGTGCAAACTCTTGCCGGGACAGTAAATAGGAGAGAAGGGAATACATTCCCAGAGTTTTGAAGTTAATCTTCACTTTCTAATACAGTTGAAAGAGGCCAGGATTGGAGCATTATCTGCCTAGTGACAATGCTGTTTCTTGGAGGTCGTAGCTTTTTCCCACATGCCTTTCCTGCCTCTGGGAACTGGAGTTGGAGAGCGAAGAGGAGATGCCAAGTAGAGGGAAGGAGGATTGCTGTTAGCAGCTTGGAAAGCTGAAAAGAAGGTATGAATAGAAAGGGAAGAGAAATGAAAAGGAGCTACTGCCAGCACTTAGTGAATGACTGACTACACAGCAGTTTTTCCAAATTTATATTTCTTTTTTGTTAGTGGAGATTATTAAATTGAATCAAATCATCTAGAAAACAGTAAAGAATGTTCTACATTTAAAAAGTCTTCTAAATGGGAAACTGTTAAAGTTAGAGTGATCATATTACAAAAATGGAAAAGTGAAACCCTATCTCCCTGGAAGAATTGGCAGTTGCAAAAAAAAAAAAAAAATCTAAGTCTATAAACAGTTACTCGAAATGGAGGGTCTAGTAACCTCACCAGCAGCCATTTATACAAAGGTGCATATTTATATTTGACTAGTGAACTTAATTTAGCTGAGTCTGGGAGACATGACTCGATGTTCCTTTTCTTTCTTCCACGTTTAAAGCATAGGACCAAGATTTGTCTTAAAATTAATTTTTGTTCAGCACTGAGAATAAATGGTCAGGAAACTCTGGGGAAAGAGATGCGGTGGCTACCTTCATCAGGACAGGATTTCAGGGTCAGCGTGGATGGGCGGGTGCGTGGGGTAAGCCTACATCTACCTAGTTTGCTCCCTCCCTCTCTCTTCCTCCCTCTCCCCCCCTTTATTATTTTTGTAGAGTTTATATATGCCATTCTCTTTATGACTAAAAGCATTATTTATGGCCTTATTAAGACAATGAGGTTAGCTCAGATACAACTGCTTACTTTTATTTGTTTCCTATGAGAAACTTAATTTTTCAAGCATTTTGAACTTTGGCAAGGGAAAGCCCTAAAGCAGATGTTAAATTAATGAGTTCTAAGGCAGGTGTACGTTAACAAAGAAAAAAAATACATTCGCGCCTAAAAAAAGCAACCCTTTTTTATGTATCAAGGCACCTTTTTCCAGACTGGAAAATCCTTGGTCTATGTATGAACTTGTATAAATCTATTCACAAACATAGACTCAATCTCTATGTATACTGTATATCCAAGTAAGCAAAAATACCACCCATGCTACACTCAACCAAGACATTCATAATTTTTCTCTGCACTCAGCAAATCTTATAAATCTTTATATATATTTTTTACTACTATGAAACAAAACATGCTACTCAGGACATGTTTATGTTATATTTGTTCAAATGGATCTTAATGGCAACGTAGGGTGCTGTTGCCAGAGGGCAGCTAGAGTTAGCAGTTAAAAAATCTGAAGGAACTTTTCAGCTCATAAAAGTTTTATGAGCTGAAAAATGCTATGGGGTGTATTTAACAGTGGTTTGGGGGATACTGAAAACATGACTCCTGTCTATTTCAGGAGTAATTTGCACACCTGCATTTTGAAAAATGATTAAAAGGTTTTCTTTGTGAACATGTATGAAGTTTATGGGGTTTAATGGTGTAGGAAGAGTTCCTTCAATTCTGGGCTTTTATTTATTTTTTAAAGAATGCTTTCCCCCCCTAAATCATATGAAATGTCACAAGTTGGTGTAACAACTGTGAATGTTTTTTAAAGCAATGATATACTGGTATCTTTAAATCAAAAATACCTTGGACATATGCAAACATGATTATGCAGATGCTCACAGTGATAGCCTTAAACTAGGTGGCTTATTAGTGTTTTGTTTTGTTTTTAAACAAGTGCATATAAACTACATACTATTTGTCAGGCCAGCTTGATCTTATTTGTCTTGCCATATGGTTTTTTTCTTCTCATTTTATCATTTATATAATTCTAAATCTGAGTGTAAGGCAAGTGTAAAGCCAGTATGAAACTAAAATGATATAGATATCAAGATATATAAAATGATTAATGTAATGATGTCAAAAATCAATGAGATATTAAGTAAGATAATTTTGCCACTAAATCAGAACTTTCTTTGCTCGGTTTCCCTGTTGAAAGTCATGCTTACCTATTGCTTATCTTGCTCAGAAGTGACTCCCATGAGAACGCTGTTGCAAGCACAGTGACTGGCACAAGAGAACCACGTGGCACAAATCAGCCACCTCTCCGCTGTAGGAATTACTTTTGCTAAACTTCTAAATATAGGAAAATGTAGACTGTCTTGTACTAAATAGATAAAAAGCCAGTTAAAACTCAATATGCTTTATACCTCGGGGAGCCAACTGTAATTAAACGGCAGTATCTGCTCGACTGCAGGAGCTTGTTAGCATCTTAATCCTCTAAGGACAGTGTCTGTGTGGGTGATGCTGGGAGGGTGCCGATCAGAAGCAGCTGTAGCCCTTATAATATAGTATTTGAATATAGTTTTGATTCTATAGGGCTGGCACATACAGTTCATTAGCTTTTTCGTGTGTGAAAAAAGGGCTTATGACTTTCATAACTACCAATTCCATTTTTTTTTTATTTTTTTTTTTACAGAGAAAAAGAGCTTTTTCTGAATTCTTTATGAATTTTTGCAGGTACTGGGCCTAGCCTCTCCTTGCATATTCATAGAACACATGGGCATTCCCTGCTGTCTTTTTGTTGTTGTCAAGGAAACCCTCCAGTTTTCTACACAGGGATTACATTCTTCTTTCTTAATAGCTCTTAGATCATTCATTTGTGCGATGAATAAAAAATGTATTCACAGGCCCAGACAGTGTTCAGCACTTTTTTGGAGGGGGGTGGGTTGGTGGGACAGACGTGCATGGGGAGAGGAGCAATGGGGATAAAAGAAATATTGTCTGAGGTTTCATTGTAATAAGATAAAGCTGAAAATTTTATGTTTTTAAAAAAGTGATCATTTTAGATTGGTTTGTCAAGTACAAAAAAATAATTGGTTATTCAGTGCTTTTATGGATGGAATGATGATAAGAATGACCCTAGTTGGGGGGCTGTAAGGATGGTGATGTGTTTTGGTGAAAACTGTTGTACATTTTTTCATTTATATTGAAGTGCTTCGAATTTTTTTTTTTTTTTTTACAACATAATGGAAGTGATAGAAAAATGTAAAACATTCATCCTAAGGCGTCATGTGGACAACCGAAAATCTACTTTATTGCATTAAAAATGATGTTCCTTAGAGAGATTTGCCAGTGTCTATACCTTTGAATATGAATTCGGAGGGAAACATCTAGCTATTAACAAGAAGACTATATTTATTCTTCAAAAGAGTAATTTTATTCTTGAGAAGAAAATAAATTATGAAGAACCTTCTAAATACTTGCTAGAATTTTAAGTATGAGATTTTAAACTGGAAAGAATCCCTGGAGGGAGAGGGAAAGTTTAATTATGTTTCAGCATCTATGTCCATGAACATTTGACTTATTGTGTCATGGTATTATACCCAGACCTGCTTGTGCACACGTATAATTGGTATACACCACCTCAACTGACCTCTAGTGTCCTCACTGTTGGGCATTGTACCACAGCATTCCCAGTCTCTCACAGGACAATGTTGTCGCTTTGACCATATGATGCATATACTAGGTTTCTGAAAGTTGACTTTTCTAAATTGAGAACAGGAAAAGGAAATGTACTAATGTATAACTCTGTGTAGC